CACACACACACACACACACACACACACACACACACACACACACACACTTAGGCCCCAGATGCAAATGAAGGACTCAGACGGGTTACCAAGTAACAGTGAGAGTGGGGGGGGGGGGTCAGCCTACCTGTTTGATCTTTCATCCACTGAACTGCAACATCGCACATTTAATTTAGGAGATGCCTCTGATAAACTCGCTGGTGGCCGGGGAGGCCTCCTCCTCCTCCTCCTCCTCCTCCTCCTCCTCCGTGTAACGCTCCTCATCTTCTGCGCGTTTCTTCCAGCCGGCTGGTTATTGATGCAAGCCAGACGTCCTGGTTTTGATGAGAAGCGATCGCGCCGCCTGCTCCCGTCTATAAACGCCATCCTCCGGTGGTTTGTGTGGAGCGGAGCAAGGGCCGTTTCGGTGGTGGTGTGAAGTGCTTTGGAAGGAGAGAGATGGTTATTATTTCCAAGACGGTACACAAGATCCATATAACTATCTATTTCACTTCTTTTTCCCTTCTATTGACATAAACCCGACGTGAATTTAATTTGAAAATGCCTTTAATAACTCACCCACCTTCGCTAATGATTTACTTGACCAGTGATTTCCAACCAAAAGGTGCTGCAGCTGCCAGATTATAGAGTCGCTCAACTATTTGAAAAAAATGACGAAAACGCGTATTAAACCAGTCGTAACGCATGAACGCTACTTGTCCTGAGTGTGAAACCACGGCTGGACTCTAATAGTATTTTTTTTTATTTTTTTGCTGAAGAAGGTTACTAACTGAGTGAAATGACCCGGAAGTATCTCAGTGGCAGACATGATGAGAGCTGGTAGAATTCTCGAAAATGCTTAGGAAAGGTGCTTCAGTGCTTCCTTTCTTATCTCCTTTAGCATAGGGAGCACTGGACCGTGCTTTACCAAAGGAAGGGAGGTAATGTCGTCCCACGGCACTCGGATACTCTTGGGGACGTTTTCCTAACTCCTCATGAATTATCCTTCACTTGTTCCCTTAACAGTTCGCTAAAAAGTCACTAGAAATGATTGACATTTCATCAATTTTCTGTGACTTTTTGCTCACTATTAATAGCAATAGAATAAATGTTTTTAAAAGTGGTAGTATGAATCCAGACTTATCCAAACTGATCTAAACTTTGACAGTCTAAAATATCACACCAATATCCACTTTTATAAATTAATATTGTTAAATAACATCCCGTTTAAAATACGGTGAGCCATATTTGAATATGACAGGTGGTGTTGATGAAGGGGACCACTCTATATGTTCAGTCAGAAATAACATGCATCTGCATTCTGCCAGATGTTACTGAATTAGTGTGACAGTTGAGCAGACCACCCCCTCTGACAGCGAAGTGTTGGATGACTCCACACTGGTTCAGTAGGAGGTAAGTATTGCAGCTACAGACCATAGTTTGGATGATATTGCCCCCTTGTGGTTTCAAGTCATAAACCATGTATTGAGTCACCACAGGGAATTAAGGTTTCTTTTAGTTTGTTTTGTAGACTTTGATTAATATGAAAAGTGCGAAATGTAGAAATATATTTGTGTGTGTGTGTGTGTGTTTCCATGCAGGATACAGCGGGGCAGGAGCGCTACCGCACCATCACCACGGCCTACTACAGAGGAGCCATGGGCTTCCTGCTCATGTACGACATCACTAACCAGGACTCCTTCAACGCAGTTCAGGACTGGTGAGTCGGATACTGTTAAACATTTTGGTCCGGGGGATTATTATTGTATTTTTTTGTCCCATTTCTCATTCAGTTAGATCATGATGCCTTTTTGCTCATAAGGCTGGAAGTGTGAGGTGTAAAAACAAGCAGCCAATTGTTTTCATGGATTCTTTTGCCTATCTATCTATATAGATCATGCCCATTTCTTTCTACATTTGTCATTTTTGGCAAAACATTTTCTCCCCACTACTTTCTGACAGAAATCTCACCACTCATCACCAAAAGTTCCACAAAACCTCTATAATTGACCTTGCGCTAAATGTTGAGCACCATTTTCACACAACCGGTTGCCAGATTCTTGTATTGTGCAGTTGCATCCAAAATGAGATGACATGCAAGCCAACTCCATAGTGATGCTGCAAATTTTGATGTATTTTTTCCCCCTATTAGTGGCACTGCGGACACTTAAAGAAGTGTCGACCACCCTTCCGTTCATATTTTATTGCTGTATCTAATTTGTTGGTTTCTACGTTGCTTTCTTTTTTTTCTTCTTTACTGCTATTAATCACGTATACTGTTATGTCTGTCTGACAGGGCGACGCAGATCAAGACGTACTCGTGGGATAATGCTCAGGTGATCCTGATTGGTAACAAGTGTGACCTGGAGGACGACAGGCTCGTACCCACGGAGGACGGCCAGAGGCTGGCGGAGGAGCTAGGTAGAGACTCTTCACTCGCACTTCTACCCGCTAGCTTCTGCCCACAGACGTTTCAACACGCATACATCTGCTGAAACCATGTCGCTAACCCCCCTCCCCAGGTTTCCAGTTCTTCGAGGCCAGCGCCAAGGACAACATCAACGTGAAGCAGGTGTTCGAGCGGCTGGTGGACGTCATCTGTGAGAAGATGAACGAGAGCATGGAGGGGGACATCGACCTCGTGTCCAACCACAGGAACCAGGCCCTTAAAGACTCGCCGTCAGAGAGCCACGGGGGCTGCACCTGCTGAAGTGTCCGCCCTCTTACCAGCTCCCCACACACACACACACACACACACTGATAATCATACATAAAGACCTTCCCTCTCTGTGCCTCGACCACGTAAAGTGCCGCACCTCTTCCTCTCTCTTCACTCCAGCCACGCCCAGCTCTGCTTTGTCCACACAGCCCGGCACGAACCAAAAGGACAGCTCGCTGAAATACTCTTCATCAGCATTGTCAGACCCTCCTCAGTCTTTTGCCCACTTTCTGTCTCTGTTTCCAACCCCGTCAGCTCTGCGGTGAGCTGATAGTCCACCAAACATGTCCTGTGCTCCGTCCCCCCCCACCCACCTCAACCGCTGCCTTATCTGAGACATTTGTTCAGTGGCTTTCATTTTTCCTAGACAAATATTTGTGCAGATAGCTTAAAGCTAGTGATGCCAAATAGTGGCTGTAGGTGACTGTGCTTTATGGCATTCGTTGTTTTGTTTGAGATAGATTCAGTGTGTGCGCTCAGGTTCAAATGATGCCTCAACAAAAGGCACATCCAGCTTTGTAACGCTTAAAGGAACAGTTTGACGTTTTGGGAAATCCGCTTATTTGCTACCTTGTGGAGAGTTAGATGAGAAGATTAATACCGCTCTCATGTCTGTATGCCAAATATGAAGTACCGCTAATGTCTCACCTACCCTAGAGGATTTCTCTGTTATGTGTTATTATGAAGTTCAAACTGATAAAATGATGACAAGATGATTAAAAAAAAAGAGTCTCGATGCCAGTCTTGTGCTGCCCTTTGCCTCCCTCAGTGCCTCTCGGAGGCTGTCGAAGCCTTTTCCTGTGCACTAACGCTGAGACAGCTGGAGGGCGACGGTGATGCCCAACGTTGAGCCCCGCTCTCTACACATACGCTGCCGCGCCCGTGCCATGAATTCGTTTTAACTATCGCTAACACTTGTACTTGGCACTTGACCGGCCTCGTGGCGTAGCTCACCTCTTTGTGCCACTCCGTCTTTAATGCCTTCTCTCGCAAAACAAACGCATGCGTTCACCGCGACACCCACCCACGTACGCACTCTACTCCCACAGACTGCAGCATGGCGAAAGAGTTGGCATGGCAAACCTACTATGCTTAATAACTGATTTTCTACAAAGTGGTGAATTGTCTTTTTCTTCTTGTTTACTGACATAATCACTGTTATGTGGAAATGCAGCACTGTGTGTGTGTGTGTGTGTGGGTACCAGAACACTGATCTCTGTGAAGGATAAGTGTAGACCTCAACTGTGCTGTTGCCACTATGAGGAAAAGCAATGAGCTGAAGTCACCCTCCCTCTGTGTGTGTTGTAATCCGAGCTTCTCTGTGCTTTGTTGACATATTTGGTTCGGCGGTGCATGCCTTGTAGTGCATGTGAGCGTGCCCCACTGGCCGGATCACCGCCGCCGCCCTGCACTGCTCTCATAGGGCGGTCACCGCTGATGACGCCTCTCCGGTCGGCGCGAAAGTGTAGCACCCACCCTCCAGTTCCCCCCCTCAGGTAAACACTGGTAGCTCCGTCAGCGCTGTTGCCGTTGTATGCGCTGTTAGCACCGTTAGCTGCTAACATTGAGAGCCGGTGGAGGCAACCGATGTGCTCTGAGTTGAGTATTGAGCATCTTTTAAAGGAGCCTTCGTCACTTGATCTCCCACTGCTGTCATCTGAAGTAAATAAAATGAGGTTTCACCATCATTTCACTTCACGTTGCTTGCCATCAGTTACACTGGACCTGAAATAGCTTTTTTGTTCATTGTTCCATGTCAGTATTGAATGGTCAACCCCCCCTCTGAAAACTGTGTCCTGATTGAAGTTAATTTCAAAGCCTTTGGATTGCACCACAAATCGGTTATGTTGCTATTATTTTCTGTTAATTGTCCATGTGCCGACTACTGACTTGTCACCTGATATATCAACCATAACCACTGGACCACAATAGCTATGGTATACATATCAGATAGCTGATAGGATCATCTCATCCGCACCGCTTTTTATGCAAGGCTTTAACACGAGGAGTCTGTGTGCAAGACTCATAACACTACATTTGTATTTCAACGTTTGCGCGCTGTGCAGGTTTGCAATGTATTTAAATGGAGCGGAGGGGCGTCACAGAGCTTATGATATCCGTGATGTGTTCGCAAAAGGAGCTTACAAGGGCGGCTGCTGCTTGAATGTGCTAAACTGTCCACTGATGTTGAATATTTAACCACTTCGTCCGGTTTCTGCCTTACTGAAAAACTACCGACTCTGACGCTTTTGTACAACTTATGTCAGTAGCATCCAGAGCTGTTCGTCTGGGGTTTGTTCTTTCTCTCTTTTGTTTACGATCTATTTTGTTTTCATGTGTCGCATTCCTGATTGGTCACTTTCTAAAAGAGGGGAGACCAGATCGTTGGATGCCTTTATTTAAGGCTCTGAATGTGTTGGATGGAAGCATTGTGGGGCAGGGAAAAAAAATGCAACCTATCAACAAGAATAAATTGAGTATGTCAAAATGTGTATATGAAAATAAAGAATCTATTCATTACAAAAGGGAGAGTGTAGTTGCAGATCCTTGTCTTTAGTTCCTTTTACATGAGTGTACAACGTGTCAGCAGCATGTGAAGTGTAATTTATGACCTAACCCCGAAACATCAGGTCAGGGCTTTTTTTTTTTTCCTTCACGTTTTATCAGTAGAAGCAGAGAAACCACACTCTGCCATTGTCCTCCACGACGATACGGATTTCCTCATCCCCTTCTTCCTGCCAGCGGGGTTAGCAAGGCCCGACATGAGAGGGCCTCAACTGAACTTATCTGGAGTTTGAATTTAACTAAACTGGCTGAAAAACATCTGAAGCTGACAAAAAAAAAAGGTTCAAGCAGTCATGTGAGTGAAACGCAGCATGATGTTTACATCAGCACCCACCTCACTGGGATCAGGCTGACTTTTCTCCCCTCTCGTGTGACGTAAAAGAGGCGCTGAATTGCATTTAAATGGCCGGGGATGGGCCACTTATCGTGGGTGAAGAAACAAGGGCGTCTGCAGCGCTGATAATGTTGGTAAAACGAAGAAAACATGTAGGTGCAGCAAGTAGATAAGAAACCGTTTAGGTCTGCATCTAAGACGTGCGAGTAGCTGCGGTTTCCGTTACTTGGGCACGTGCAGGGATTCAGCTGGCCCGGGCCAGAAAAGGGGGCTGAGCGCCATCTCCTCAAGGCTTCAGCTTCAGCTCCTGCCTGTGAACTACAGTTCAGCCTCGAGACAGCTTCTCAGACATATACCCATTTAGAAAATATGAAATTATTTTACTGGTATTATTATTATTATTGTCGTATTATTATTATTTGTACTATTGTTATTATAATTATTGTTATATTATCATTACTATTTTTTTTATCCATCCATCCATCCATCCATCCATCCATCCATCCCACCCTCTTTCTCTCTGTCGACGTTTGCGCGCTTTTACGCACAGTCTCTCTCTCCCCACAGCAGCAAAAAACAAAACAAGTTGTAAACATCAATGAGCGCGTGATTCACGCCCCCCCAAAACGGGAGAGTACAAAGTTTTGCAAGAGTGCACGTGCCCCTCCCCTCCGTCACCGACTTTTTGGAGGTAGTAAACAGCTCGACTCTACGCAGCTTATCGCTCACAAGCAGGCGCGTAAACTGCGCTGCGCTATCCATGGTATCTGAACAAAAAAAAAAACAAGCCTCCCCCTGAGAGAGCTGCGGCAGACCCGTTAGTGGCAGGTTGTTTTCAAGTGATGCTGGCGGGCGACAGAAGGCTAAAGTATTCACAGAGGAGACAAAAGGATGATATGCTTTCACCTGAGCCGATTGTTGGCGCTTTTCGGGATATTTTGCGCCATGCGAGGAGCGTCCGTCGTCCAGGGTGCACGAGATTTCGAAAAAAAAGGTAAGAGACTTTTTTATTCATTCTTGGCTGTAGAACATCAAAAGTGCCCCTTTTAAAGTAAAATAAGTATTAGGTAGATTAAAAAAAATGTTTTTGATCCACCACGTTTATTCTTCCTATACTGGATTTCAAATCTATAGGATAACAATAACAAGCTGTTGCCCCCCCCCTAACTTCACCTCCTCAGTGTCTATACTGCTGAAAGAGGAGCCAGCAAACCCCAAGTGCTTCGCTGAAGGCAGGAAGGACTTCACATGCTTCTGGGAGGAAGATGAGGAGAGGGCCGGCTCTGTGGACCAGTACTCTTTCACGTACAGCTACCAGTAAGTCACATTCAGTAGTAAAAACCAGGCCATGTGGTGTCCAGTAGGGTCATGAGATTGCAGTTCAAAGCTCGTGTTCTCATACTTTGTTTTATTTTCTCTTTTTCTATTGCAAGCAACACGTTATAAATGAAACTATATTCTGATCAGTAAACCAGGGTGATTGAATAATAAATTGATGGGTTAAAAACGTTTTTTACAGACTCTTTTTAGGGGCCTGGTGATTAATAAAAGGTCAATACATCAGTCTAGATAGATAAAACAATAGCAACATTCAGCATGTCTGAATTCTAAGTGGCCTCATTCAAGAAAAAGAAAAAAAATCACCTCTCTCTGAACCCTCCGAGTGCTTTTTGTCTTCCTCTGTCAGGAAGGAAAACAGCAGCAGGTGCCCACTGAGAGCCCTCCCTCTAGTGGGCGGAAAAAGGCTGTTTGTCTGCCACCTGAACCAACCCCAGATGTTTGTCCAAATGGACTTACGAGTTCATCGAGAGGGAACGCTGATCCACAATCGCAGCCTTCTCATCGAGCTTGTCTGTAAGTTATTTTACTGCCTTCGCTAAACGGCACAGTCAGAGCAGTGCATTTGAAAGGTTTGTGTGAGAGTGATGGATTACATTCATTATCATTGACTCTAAAATTCCCAATACCAAATATTTTTTTCAAAGCTGCTATAATTAATATTTCCGTATCAAAATGTGCTTATCACATGACTACTTGTATGTGAAAGCGCTCACGTTTAGTGCCAAAGTCTGAGAGCATTATCACCCAAATCTGCAGGTCCCCTCAGATTAGAGTATTTTAATGTCTTTCAGTTTACTGTTTTGGTGCCCGCAACTTCACTTTTTTGCTTCAGTCTCACAGCTCTCATCAATGTTGTATTTAGCTGCAACTATTCTAGAGAAAAAGCTTGAAAAACCCACCGAAACCTACCTGCCCGGCACCAAAACGGTAGATGCGTAACGTTAGCAGCTAGCTCGTTTGACATAGTGGAGCATTTAGCAGGTAAAGAGCCAGATATTTACCTCAGGAGTGGGTGGAGACCAAAAACAGAGCTAAAAGGAGAGTGACTAATGGCTGTACATTCATCCGGTGGACAGAAACGTGACTCCAAATAAATGCCAATGTTGCTGTGTATCTGCTAGAAGTGTAAAATTGTGTTTATAGCCTTTTCCCCCACATAGCCAAACAATAGAGCAATGTTTCAGGGTGTCAGAGACTTTTGGGGAAGAATGTTCTTTCCCCGACTTCCGTCAAAATCCTCCCTAACAAGCTGCCTCTTGTCTATCTGCATGGCAGTTCTCCTGGACCCTCCTGCTAACGTGACGGTGAACAGCACCGGTGAGAAAGGCCAGCTGAATGTCAGCTGGATGGTTCCTCCTCTCAAGTACATGTATGACAGCATGATGTACCAGGTCAACTACACCGCGGCGGACAGTCACGCGGGGCAGGTACGGCGGTTGCTTTAATGCCCTGCACGACCTCACTGATATGTTAGAGGGGGAATGAAGCTTTGTGCAGCAGGTTGGTTGAATGGTTGGGGACAATGTGGACCCGTATCGATGAGTTGGGGACTGTTTTGCAGGTGGAGGTGGTAAGAGCCAACTCAGAGTTGATCCTGAGAGGCCTGCAGCCAGGCACGAAGTACAAGGTGCGAGTGCGTGTAAAGATGGACGGGATTAGCTACAACGGCTACTGGAGCGCCTGGAGTGACCCGGTGTTCATGGAAACACCGCCTGCAGGTGAGTACTCTTAAAAGGCTGTCCAAAGAAATATGTAATCCCACATTTTCACTGTACATGGACAGATCCAATCCAATTCAATTTGGTTCCCAATGCAATGCCTGTTTTTGATCATTGTGTGACTCCTCCAGAACTCGACCTACTTATCGTGTCCCTGATGCTCATCATCTCTCTCATCCTCATTGCTCTGTCTCTCACCATGCTCCTGTCCCAACGGAGGTCAGCTAACCAGCAATGCATAGCTAATTTACTTACCACAAAAAACAAATGCAGAATTGTAATTTCAGCATCTGTACTCTTTTCAGGTTTGTCATAAAGAAGATTTGGCCGACTATTCCAACTCCTGACAGCAAGTTCCAAGGCCTTTTCACTGTTTATGGTGGGGACTTTAAGGTAAGAACTAGACACGTTTACAGCCATGCTAGTGGCTCTGTGAGGCTGTACTTAGGTACAAGGCTGCTTTGTGCTAAGTGCTGACATCAGCATGCTGCATGCTCAAGGGGACAATGCTGGCATGTCTGGCGTGTATGTTTACCATGTTGTTCGTTGTCTTAATTTAGTGTGTTAGCATGCTAACATTTGCTATTTAGTGTGGGCAAACTGAAACATTGAACTGATTGTCATGCCGATCCATCCAATGGTATTCAAGACACAATAGTCGTGTTCTAAAAAAGTGCCATCTTCATTTTAGAATATCCAAGGCTTCAAGGAGTTTTCAATATCCTTTGTTGTGTTTTTGTACAGGAGTGGTTAGGTCAGACCAACGGAGGCATATGGTTGACTCCAGAGTACTTCTACTCAGAAGAAAGCCCTTCTCCTCTGGAGGTCCTGTCAGAGTTCAGTCCTTGCCCCTCGCTGCCTTTCCCACCTCTGCCACCCAAGGCTTTTAAAGCTTCGACCACAGGCAGAAAGGAGGACAAGGATGGAATGAAAGGGCTGGTCGAGAGAGAGCCGTTGGAAAGGGGTGATTCGGCGTTGACAGAGCGATGGAGAGCTACACCACACGACCACTGGCTGATGGACCGCTTAAGGGTGCTCCACCAGAACCCAGTTCCCTGCTCCAAGTCCTCTCTGCTGGAGTCCCAAGACGCCTACGTCACCCTCAGTGGCAACAGCCAAAGAGAAGACGGTCACTTGGACGATGCTCTCGAGGAGGCCTTACCGCTTGAGGTGCTTTTCGCCTCCAGTAAGACGGTGTCATGTGAATCTCACTCCGACCTGGGATCCGGGCAGCAGAGCTCCGGCCTTTCGTCACAGTCCAGCTTTGAGTACCCAAACCACGCCTGGATGCCCAAAGGCCCCGGGTACACCTACATGGCAGTGGCAGACTCGGGGGTCTCTATGGATTACAGCCCCATGAGTCGAGTAGGCGACATTGGAAATGTGGTCATCTACGCCAATGAGTACAAGAACGAGATACCTGCTCTTAGAAGACCCTTCCTGCCGAGGCAGCACATGGACTGAGCCTTGAAGCAGGCTCAGTGGAAGGTTTTTGGATATCCACCCAAAGTTACATATAGCCTCTCAACAACTGTTAACAAAGGTGGACCAAGAATTTGGAGCAGGCTGACACCGAAGTGTAAGCTGAAGGACTCAGGAGGAAGAGTCCGCTGGATGTACATACAGAACATTGTTTCTACTTTATCCAAACCACAGCAGTGGTTTACAGCAAATACTGATATTCAGTGAAAAACTCTGCTTGCTGACCTGTAAGTATCCTAGCCTGTAGATCAGAGCAGCTTTTCTTTTATACAATCCACCAAAATTCAAGTTGAGGGAGTGTTTACATAGTGGTTTATGCAAATTTGAGCTAAGTGTGCTTTTAAATCATAAATGACAGAATGGCTATTGGGTTAAATTACAGAACAGACCGCCTGAAATGGAAGACTTTGATGTGAGGATATAGGGCTGGTGGTATATAACATTTTTTGTATTGTCAACCAACCCTGCATATAAGTGTTGCCTGTCTAACCAAAGCCTGATATAGCTTAAACTCTGAGCATTCAACCGTTTTTATATTGTGAACACTCGCAAGTCGTTAACAACAGAATCTTTCCCATTTCTACCATTCATCCCCTATGCTGTGAACGGGGTGAGGCCCAGCAATGCTTTCTGCTAAATTAGCACTAAATGCAAAGCACAGCTGAGGCTAATGGGAATGCCATGTTTGCAGGTATTAGGTCATAAACCAAAGTATTAGAAACATTTGATGTGATGATGGCAGTAGATTGAACACTTCAACCTCTGGGGACATTGAATGGTTCCACAAATTTCATTGCGAACCATTAAATAATTGTTAAGATATTTCCGTCTGGACCAAAGTACACGTGTGTATTAATCCACTGTTGAAAATAGTCCTCAACAAATTTACCATTTACTCCTCTTCGACTAACATTCGCTAAAAACTACAATGCCCAGCTGTTTTAGGAAATTAGAGAGTATTATTTTAATGCATGAAACTACATATTTGTGTGCAGTTTTAGAAGGTTTACATCTTCAGTTAGAACCAGTGGGCTGGAGGTTGAGTGCCACATAAAGATAATTATGATGAATCCAAATGATGAGACACTAAGTCAGAATTTACATTTTCTAAATCAAAATTATGAGACCTGTCAAAGTTAGGTAGTAAGTCAAAAGTATGATTTTTTTTAAATCACAACTATGACATAATAAAAAGAGCTAAGTTTAGAATGAGTATTATTGCCTGATTTATCATATCAATTTCTGTTTTTATGTATTTAAAATACAATTCTTTTTTTTTTATTTTTTTTTTTTACCCATGTCAAAATGTTGAGATGGAAGTTATAATTATGAAATGATAAGTTGCAATGTTTCAATCTGACTTAAAAGTCAAAATGTTGACTGATCTCACAGTTATTGGAGCTCAAACTACAAGTCGATTAATTAATTGATCTGCAGAAAATGAATCTTTAACTATTTTGAAAATTGCGTATTCATTCAATAGTTTTTCATGCACAAGCATCCATCAAACACACTTAAACTATAATTTAAGAAATTATATTAATGTTATTTCCAAATCAGAAGGAACTCACTGTATTCGTAAATAGTATAATAGTGATATTTTGTGTTTTATCACAAACGCAGAATCCTGGAAGAAAGGAAGTATGATGAGTACTACTGTAGGCCATATTCATTCTCGTGGAACTGTAGTTGTTAGTTTCTTTCTTGACATGTTGAGGTTGTGTTTTTAGTCACTGCTGCCATCTAAAGAGCGGAGCGTGTACAGCACGTCTTAACCCGGACGTGTCAAGTCAGTTGCAGTTTTTAAATCAAACTTCCACATGTTTTTTGAGAAATTGTAGCAACTCTAAAAGTATATAAAAACATATCTATTTGTTGGTAACTTCTACTTTTGACAAAAAATGATAAGTGTTGGCAAATCTCAAAACCCAAAACCAACTGCCCGTCTCTCACAACTGATGACTTATCAAAGATGAAGAAAACTAAATGACATTTTTTAGTATCAATTGCTTTACATTTGAGGATCACATATTACTCAGGCTTTTTTACGTATTCAGCAACATATATTTTAAGAGAAAGTGAACCTATCAGTAGTTTACTTAGAAGTGGGGTAATGTTTTGTTTCATGCTTTTTTCTCTTTCTGAAACATAATATTCTGTATTGAACGTGATATTGTTTATTTTTCATATATTTCTTCTGATTTGTAAAATACTTTAACTGTGATATCAGCCACTTCGGTCCGATGTCTCACACATGCCACTCGCTCCGATGTTGTAAGTTAGTGGTTCAACCTGAGGCACGGGACCCCGCTGAGGGGTCCCAAGATGATTGAAGGGATAAGAAAACAACAAAAAAACATCAATATGCTTTTCAAAATATATGTTTATTTGTATATACAGTGTACAATGAATTTGTCTGCCCTTTTGGTATAAGTAGACTGTTTAGTTTTTAAGGGTCCTGAGCCAAAAATGTTGGAAACCACTATTAAATTAAAACACTTTAGTGTCTATGTAAATGTTTTCATTATGTAAGACTTTCTTCATGTGTTTGACAAAGCTTTATGGCGTTTAAACTCATTAAACGTTGTACATCTGCAACCGCTGTGGTCCTGTTATCTTATATCTGAGCAGCAGATTATGTCACGCTGTGTCGGCGATGAAGAGACAAGACGGAGAAAGGTACCAGAGGAGTCATGACGGTCAAAGTAAAGGCAACAACTACTCAGATAAACTGTATTACGGTACGATAACAGAATATTTCATTTGAACAAAACTCCTCACGTGAACAAATCGACCTTCAGTTTCTCCCTCACTGCTCCGGTCTTTGATGCAAACGATTTTCAAACCAACTCAAACTCCATTAAACCATCTGGAGAAATCAGCAGCTTCCACTCTGGGGCTACAGCAGGCCTGTCATCACAGTCTTTGGTAGAAGAGGCCTCTGCGATGCCCATCCCAGAGAGGTAAATGTGCCACACCTCCTGCAGTCCGGCCGCCGCAGCTTCGTAGCTGCCGTCCCTGTCCAGCGTACAGCGGACCCGGAAATAGCGATCAAGAACATCGAGGGCGGGATCCGTGGCGGAGGCCTCCCCGGTGTCCACCGCGGACCGGAAAGAGGCGATGATGCGGCAGGGGGCCGAGGTCGGGGAGCGTCGCCTCAGGAGTTGTGTGAGGAAGGCGGCGGTGTCGCATAGCAACGCGGACAGGTGTGCGGCGCAGGACTGCTCCCCCGGGTGGAACCCACCGAGCCCGCCGGCCCCGGGGCCGCACAGGTAGCCCTCCAGCCCGTCGACTACGATGAGTGACGGAGGTGTCGGAGACGTGTTGGCGGACTCGTGAAGGCCGGCCACCTGCTGCAGCAGCTCCCCCACCGTCCCCGGATAGGAAAACTTGATTTTCTGAGAAAAAAAATAACAAGAAACTAAATTGACTCTGAATGATTCAAGGTAGCTGGTCATAAATTTGAGTGTTAAGTCTATTAAATATCAAGCAATAGCAAAGCAAAGCGCATCACAACATCTCAGAGCACAATGTGATGTCTACACGTCTTGTTTTGTCCGACTATCAGTCCAAAACACAAACATATTCAGTTTACTTTAAGAAAAAGCAGCAACCAAATATTTGGCTTTTCTGCTTGCAAAATGACTAACAAAATAAATAGATTATCAAAATAGTTGCTCATTTATCTTTTTATCTATCAACTAACTTTTTTTTTTAAATCTCTGTCAACACTGTATGGGCACACTACAGCCTCAAAAGCCTAACAAACTACTCAAACACCACTGTTACCATACTATTTCCTGTTTAATGTGGTCCGATCAGACATATTGTGATAAGAGAAGATATGAAATTATATTTTAACTAGTCAATTTACTAGTTTTCAAGCAAAAAGACCAAAATAAAAAATATTTTCTGAATGAAACACAAACAAAAGAAAATGCAAATATGCCCCTTTGCTCGTGTTATTGACATGTGTTTAATTAAAGATATACGGAACTACTTTATAATAGATATATTTGAAATAAAACGAATGGCTTTATTATTGATTAATAAATGATTTACTGACTAACTTGTTGGTAGCCAGGTGATGAATAATCCCTCTTGCTGGTGAGACATTCAAATAAAATAAGCCTTCAAGTCGACAGTAACAATTGTTAATAAGTCATTGAAGTTAAAAAAAAAAAGTTTAAGAATCCGGTTAGTCCTCAAATTTACATTTTAACGAAGAGTTAATAAATAAATATATTATCCTGAGAGAGCTTTTTGACAACCTGGCAACCCAAACGCTGGTCTCGCGATCTATAAAGCATTAGTAAATGATTCACTAGCAATACATTCATTAATTGGTTAGGCTACTCCCTTATAATGGGTGAGGTTAACTACTTAGGAGAAAACAATTCAAGCTCACAGTTTGAGGGGACAGTGATTGGTACCTTGAGACTCTCTGGGCTCAGGCTGGGAACCCGCTTCTGCAGACAAAGCGGGAGGCTCTGGATCTGTGTCTGGGTGAAGAACACCACTCTCATGCCCAGCTCTGAGGCCGCTGTCACCGCCGCCAGCAGCAGCACGGAGCGGCTGATGCCGGTGTCACCCACCACCAGCGTGCTGCAGGTCAGTGGTGATGGAGGGGTAACTGTGAGCTCCTTCCTTCCACCTGTCTGTGACGTGAAAGTCTTAAATACGAGTGTTAAAATGTCCGTCATGTCTGACACGATACACTTTCCCCGTAGTTATGTGGTATATAAATTATATTCACGCCATACTGTGTGGGTTCACGCTGAAATTTCCCGCGTCTGTTTACATGTTGCACATTGGTGTTCGTGCTGCTGCGGTCCGTGTGGAAAAACGCTTTGTAAGCTGTCAGTTCCGCTGCGGTTGTCGGCGTACACAGAGGGGTATTTATTTTAGTATTTTTTGACAGACATGTACCTATGTGGTGAACGACTGTGTTCGTCACTGGCGCTTCAACATTTGCAAGAAGACAACCACAAAAGGCGGCTCTTTATCAGTGCTTCCTGTCGGGTCGGACCAACTTCCGGTATTGCCGGCAATCACAACTTTCAGCAGCCAAGATGGCGCACAGCCTGGCAGAGTTAGACGTTCCGCTGGACGCTGACCAAGCCGGGGACCAAGAGAAAGGTGCGCTGAGGCGCTGCAGAGGACGACCCAGGCTCACGGACTCCGACCGAGCACAGAGGCGTCTGGAATCCCGAAAGAAGTACGACGTGAGGCGCGTGTACCTGGGAGAGTCGCACAAGCTGTGGAGTGAGCTCCGCAGGAGGACCAGCCTGAGTGATGCTGGACTGGCAGAGTACCTGATCCTGCTGAACACCACCTACGGAGAGAAGTACCAGCAGAAGTACTGCGGGTGAGCCCACTCAAAGCAATGCCCGGTTTATTTCACACAAGTTTATTTCACACTAACGGTACCTAGCCAGACCGTCCACGTTTCTTTTTTTTAATCAAAAGTGGTCTGCGGCAATGTTATCAGCTCGGCCTCTTCCCTTTACTTCTGTCAGCCTGTTGTGTTTTTATGGCTGATTTTGAGCTTCGTTAAGAGTATGTCTGACTCTGCTTAACATGACCAGTCAATGTCCACTTTACTGCATTCCAGGAAGAAGATTGCTCCAGAAGAAGTAAAAGAGAAAATAGGTGAGTGGTGCCACTGACGGATTGGATTCATTTGAGTTAGTCACATGGGTTTGTGAGGTGTCGGTGTAATAGCCTGAAATCTGCTGGTTCCATGAAATTTGAGGAATGACAAAATATACACACTCATGATGATAAATCCCAAATTTTCCAGTCAAAAAAAAACGACTTAATAACAACTAGGTATGATATAATAAACATAGCTAGACTTATAAATGGTCCAGGTGGATGTGTTGGCCGGTGTTATCTTATTGCAGGTACATCAGTATCTACAGTAGGGTTAAGTTCATTTAGTGCCACCGTCACAGTTCCTCAGCCAGAGACCTCTGACAAGATGATTTTTACACTGTTAAATGTAAAAAATCACTATTGATATAAATAAGTCTGATTTTTGAAATTTACTTTAATTATTGAAATGGTAGAAGAAGAACATCTGCCTCCTTGGTTAGTAGACTAATCGGTGGTTTTTGGTCTTCGACGACTAAGATTTCTTTCGTCGATTAGTCATTTTTTTTATGCTTTTTATTCATCCAAGAAACTTGAGAGCACATCTCTGGTAAACACATGATTTAAAGTGGAACTTTTGTGTGGTTGTCTGTGGAGAAACACAGTTTTACAGATAATTGATTCGTCGACAAGTATTTATTCTTTTGGTTGAGGTCAGCCCTAAGAAGAAGGTATAGTTATATAATGATCTTTTGAGTTTTTGAGATCGTAAGTCTATATTTGTGACTCATTTTGACTTAATGTCTCAAAAGTACGACTTCACTGTTTCATAATTTTGTGTGACTAGTTGAAAATCAACTGTTTTGGTTGAACATTGCTCATTTGTTTAAGTTGTTTTTCCTGCACGAATGACCAACATTAAAAGCTTGTTTGCATTTCACAAAGACCAACTGCTAATCCTGCTTCAACAATTCTTGAAGAAATGAGAGAGAAGACCCCCTTGAAAATTGAGGAATGTGAAAACATAAAATACTTTTAATATTTTCCAAATCAAAATCATGTGACAGCAGGTCAACTGATACATATTTTTGCTCATTGGAGATGCATCAGTATCCAGGTTTGAGGTCATTTATAAACAGTGTCAACATGAGCGTCTGTCACCAGAAACCTTTGACGAGATGATAAAGTTGGAAAAGTGCTCGTTTGTTTAAACTAGTTGTTGATGAACAAATGACAAACATTACCGAGTTCCAACCTGAAACAGGAGGTTTTGCATCTTATCTTATGTGACAATAAGTTTAATATTTCTGGTTTTGGAGAGAACCTCAGCTTTAGAAAATTCACATGACTTGCATTTTTTCAACCACTCTGATAAAGTTTTTTTGATTAAGTTTGATATTTGATTACATTAACTGATAATAAGAAATATCAGTTTGGGTTAGTTAGTCAGGAGCCCAAAGAGGTACTCATTTGTATCTCTTAATTTTGACTAAGAAAGTCAAAATTCTGAATTAATATCTCCTAATTTCACTTTAAAAGCCGGACTTTGATTTATTATGTCCTAGTTCTGGCTCAGTATCTCACAATGTGGACATTTTTTTGTTGTCGTGGCAGAAACGGGCTTCCGTAGAAAAAGAGTATTGTGCACGTTGTTGCGCTCGCTCTTTTGAATGTTTATCCAAGAAAATTCAGCAAGCCATTGAAGTGGAATCACATGACAAAATCCTCTTCCTCTTCACTCATCCGCGATCCTTTTTGTCCTTTCCACTGACTTCTGTTGCTCCCCAGGCGGGAAGGAGCGCGTGTCCAGCATCCAGAGCCTGGTGTGCTGGTACCAGGACCACTCCGGCTCCTGCCCCCACGAGCCCCAGCTCAGAGCCCTGCAGCCTGAGCCCAACTCCTCCACCGCGGCTATCTGGCGATGTGACTCCAACCACTCGTTCGTGCAATACCTTTTCTCACCACCGAGGGAGGCGAGTGACTCCGAGCAAGAGGGGGGGGGCGGACGAAGAGAGCGACGAAGAGAGTGCGGCAGAAAAGGACGTGCCCGTGGCTAAAGGTGCGGGCAGCGGTGGCAGGAGGAGAAGGAAGGAGGCTCGCAAACACTTCAGAGGTACAGAGTGACACATTCTTTGACTCATTCGGGGGGTTTCACTCTCATCGTTGATAATAACGAGTCGTTAAATGTTTATCAGTAGCTGTTAGATCCTGAACAAATGCTTTTTATTCTGCTTTTCTGCAGATGTGGGAGCAAATGTGGATGTCGCTGAGGTACAACATGCAACCGTGAGTCCCATAGAACGGGCTGCAGCTCTAGACCTCCATCCCGGTATTGAGGCCTCCTCCGTGGATGTTCCACTGGCGGGACAGCCTGTCTGGGAGATGGAGATGGTCATAGAGCGACAGCAAGGCTCCCCGTCAGCAGCCTTTCACTCCATCCCCTCGGAGGAGGAGGAGGAGGAGGAGGGTGAAGAGGACGACGAGGCTGAGGATCTGCGGCGAGGCAGAGACGGAGAAGAAGAGATCAGGACTTATGGATACGAGTGTGTTGCCGTGGCGCCGTCACTAGCTAATAAACTAGAGGGGACGGACGAGGAGAGCTTGAGCGGCTCAGCCGGACTGGGAGCTCAGCCGGAGCCGTCTGTCCCGCCGCCCATGCAGGTAGAAGAGCACAGCGAGCTGTTTGACCCTCACACCCTGCAGACGGTGGTGACCAGCTGCGAGCTTCCTGACCAGAGGACCACTTTGGAAGGCTCACAGGTAGGGGAACGAGCACCTCGCAGGGATGTTTGAAGGAGGGTAGAAGTGTGTGACGCGCATCAAGGAGTGTGAATACTCCTTTTCTTATTTCCTCTCATTCCTAGTTAATTATCATCACTGGCCCCAGCTACGAGGCGCTGGCATCAGAGGGCATCCAGCTCAACATGGGTGGCGGAAGCGTGGAGGAAGTCACTTGCACCGTCATCGGGGGCGTCACCTACAATCAGGTGTCTGAGGCGAAACTCAGAGCAGCAGAGGACGAGGACTCCATGACAGGTGCGCTACATTCAGAGCTGGCATAGCATTGGCGGGGGGGGATGGGGGACAAATCTGTACAGCATTGTATTACGATATTTTGCAATATTGTATCAATATACATGGATGACAAGTATCAATCTTTTATTATTTATAGACTATTAATATTGCGAATACAAATTTTGGTAACAATTGCTTTTTCAGGCCACCAGATGGTGCTGAAGTTCTTCCTGGTGCGGTCGTTGGTAAAGTCAGTGAGCTGAGTGTGTAGACTGTAATGTGAACAGCTCAGTTTGTCAGGTGCACGATGCAACATTTATGCTTCATAAAACGTTTTTATGATTCACAAAAAAACATTTTGCTGCAATAAAAGTGAGGTGAACCGTTTTTTAGATAAAACAGATGTTGACAAACTGCATAATTTGCAGTTGAGAAAAAGGTAATAAATTGTCACTATATGTCATACTAATGCTCGGCACGTCGCAAAATATTTACAGTCACACTAGGATCGTATTGTGGCTCAAGTATGGCGATAATGTCGTGTCATGTGGTCTCTTGCACGAGTGGTTTTGTAATCATCTCTCTGCAGGTCTGAGTGACAAACAGCTGCTGCAGTCCACCGATGATGCTTTGGAGCTGAGCAGTGACAGAGAGCTGCAGAGGGGTCTGAGCGGGTTAGTATGTTTTACCATGTTAAATCCTAGTGCAGGAGACAGTCAAGGCCTTTGTTCACAAGTTCACAGGTTTTTTTTTTTTTTTTTTGTTTTGGTTTTTTTGTAAACATAGGATGCAACATTCCCCACAACACAAGAGGCTGCAAAGGCTTGAAATGATTTAAATACAAACCGGACAGCACTTTGCGGCAACATATCACGTCACCTTGATTTTACTGCGTGATTTTAAACATCTTCCAGGCAGTAACTGTCAAATTTATTGACTTGTAAAACTTAATTTAATGTTCCTGTGTAAATTTATAATGCCAGGCTAAAAACCCATTTTATGGCTTTAGGTTCCCCCTGGTAACCCCGTGGTTAACTTCACAAAGCTATGGATTGTGGGTCATTTCCTCAGGCAAAATCTGCAGAAGTGCAAACCTACATTAAGTGTTCATTAAAGGGTCAAAATGTCTGAGAATGAGCCCTCAGGCACTCAACGATTTGACAGTGGGACAGCCCTGAACCCTCACGCGCCCCTAAATCCGTGAGTGCTGAGATTGGGATTAGGCCTAAAACTGCAGTGTCTTTTTTTGGATGCAGCGTCCGGTCAAAGAGAAACAGGCGAGGCCCGGTCATCGAGGCGGATGGGATGCTCAAGATGTTCCACTGTCCGTACGAGGGCTGCAGCCAAGTCTACGTAGCTATTAGCAGCTTTCAGGTGAGACATTCCGCCATTTGTGCTTTAAGTTTCACCTTCAGCTCGTTTAGCCAGAGGTTAAGATAAAAACATCTCGTCGGTTCACCTCCTCCTCTGTAGAATCACGTCAACCTAGTTCACAGGAAAGGGAGGACCAAGGTTTGCCCCCATCCAGGCTGTGGGAAAAAGTTCTACCTGTCCAACCACCTGCATCGCCACATGATCATCCACTCAGGTGGGCGCTCAAAGACACGCGTGTTGCGCCACAGTCTCATCTTCATGAACCTCTCCAAACGTAACACAATCTGTTCACAGGGGTCAGAGATTTCATCTGCGAGACGTGTGGGAAATCGTTTAAGCGGAAGAATCACCTGGAGGTCCACAGGCGGACCCACACGGGAGAAACGCCACTCCAGTAAGTTACTAACGCTGAAAACTTATCGAATCCGTACATAACTTTACTGTAAGCTGTTTAGACTAAAGTGGCAATCTGTGCCCTTAATATTTGGAACCAAGACAAGTTTAAAATTCATAAATACAACACGACACATGATCATCTACATGATCCTCCTTTTCTTCCCTGTTCGTTCGTTCCTTCCTTCTTGTCTTTCTCCCCCACGTCACTTGCCAGATGTGAAATCTGTGGCTACCAGTGTCGCCAGCGTGCGTCGCTGAACTGGCACATGAAGAAGCACACCTCGGAGGCCCACTACAACTTCACCTGTGAGTTCTGCGAGAAGAGGTTCGAGAAGCTGGACAGTGTTAAATTCCACAAGCTAAAGAGCCACCCGGACAAGCAGGCTACCTGAGGTGTCACGGACACGTGGTAGATGGGAGCTAAACACGAACGGGGGTCGGCCCTCGGAAACCAAAGGAAGACTTCCGGTGAAGAGATGGACTTTCCTTTGCTGTGTTTGTCTGGCCCTTTAATGTCCAGGATGATACGAACATCACCCGTGAACACACAGGCGGTGGATAAAGAGGACCAGTCTGACGGCTGTGCAGGACACAAGCCGTCTCAGAGGACAGGGCCCAAACAGGGGTTTGGACATATTTGGTACAGCAAGGAAAATGTTTAATCCACTGTTGATTAATTGACCGTTTGGTTAACTCCTCCCCCGAACAGCTCATAGCTTAACGACAATAAAGGCACAGCAGTTCGGACTAACTTTTGATTTCTACAAATTTTGAAAGGGTGTGGATGGCTTCAGTAAGAGCGGTACTCGGTGTATATTGTTTTACAAAACCCAAATCACAAGAGCGAAAGAGTAAAGAATGGATTCAACAGTGTGATTATCGGCTGCAAACATTAGCATGGCCAGCTAACTAGCTCCCAACCTACAGTGGTAATCTGTTATTCCCTTCAATGGCAGCTGTATTTCACTGCATGACTTTATGGAGTTACAAGTTACATTGAGGAAAGAAGCCCTGTTCATAACTAGCACATCCGCTGTGTAGTAATGGGGCCAGTCCGGGATGCTATCAGAGTTAAGCTAACGTTAGCAGGAAAGTTTATATTCCAGCAACTCAAGCTAAACTTGTTATCTGAGCTTGTTATAGCGCTACATTCACCAAACGCATTGGCCTGCTTTCCTTAATAAACCGGATAAACTAAAATGATCAGTGCAAATGTAGCATAAATCGAGGGGCCTGTCTTCAGGGTGCAGGATTAGCAGCTAACGTTTAGCAGAGTTACGTTGGAACAAAATAACAGCGTACACGTTTCCTTATCATACTTAAAAAAACTATTAATAATAAGTTATTCACTGCAATGCTGTTACTTTATTTCCATGTCCTCTACATGGATCACCAGCTAGTCAGGGGGCTGACTTTTAGCTCGAGACATGTAGTTTTAGTCTCAGTCTGTTCATGTATTTGGCCATGACGGCGTTTTCAGCCACTTGTGTAGTTTACGTTAGCTGAATTAGCTAGCTAGCTAGCTAGCGACAGCTATCATCTCAGCCGGCAAAATGTATGTTTGTCGGCTACAAATGAGAAGCCTCCTCTTTTGTACCTGTGTCTGAAATCAACAACCCGTTGTTTGAAAACATTTGCTACGAATTTTAAGGAGGGAAGTTAACAAACGGGCAATTCAAATTTTGATAGAAAATATTTTCTATCAAAGAAAACTTTTTTTGTAGATCTTTTGTGTTCTGCAGTGATGTAAGGGGCACATCATTCGATATTAAATCGGTTAAAAAATTGCAAAACACTGGTATGGACCATTAATAATGAAGTATGACCTAAATATGATTGCTGGGTTTATCAATACACCACCAAGAAAGATTGTTGATGACATACAGGTGTGGTGGGTAAATATTATCTACATATAAATGTACTTGTAATTAGGGCTGGGAAATTGACGTCATTGAGGTTTTTAGCGTTGTGCGTCAGCACTACGCTGCTCGTGCTGACGCAAATAGAGGTTCTTCAATTTCAGTTATTCGAAATTATTTTTTTTTTATCCTACATTCCCACTCGCAGGCTCCGATGAGAAATCCTGGGAGTGGAAAAGTGACAGTTTCTCAGGAAAATTCACCCCAGTTGTCTTCTTGTGTCTCCTCGTGTTCTTGTCTCGTGTTCTTGTCTCCTCCTCGTGTTCTCTCTGTCCTTTTTAGTATTGAAGCAAATGCACTTTTTCCCTCATGGATGAATCACTCCAATATGTGAGTATGAGTTGTTTGTATTGTATCTTTTTTTCTGAAAGACATTGGTTTGACACAAATGGTTAATAATATGCAGTGTGTTCTTCGCCTCTTGCATAACGCGCTCAAAGGGTGTGTGTGTGTGTTAGTGACGTGTGTTTGATGTGTGGGCGTGCATGGACGGCATGAAAAGTACAAGTATGATGACAATTAGTCATAAAATGACAGATTCTTTCAGCTGAATGCTGGACATGCAAATGGTTCCTGGTTTGTGTTGATACAAGGCAAAGCAGGAAAGATGAGTAATGATGGAGAGTCCCATTTTGGATTATAATAGTGACATGTTTATAGGTATAAAATGGATTTTGATATATTTGAGTATATGAGGATGTATTATTTATTAATTTTCTTCATTCCCCTCCTATTCTTTGCATTCAGAAATGTCATGTCGCCAATAACAAGCTGTGAATTATCGTCAGTATTCGTCTGTAAATCATTGATCCTTCTCCCTCATTTGGCAGCTGAGTTAGTAATCTCACGCTCCCTGTGTTCTTTTATCTTCGCTTGAAATGATTCAGATGAATGTCACACTGAGCTATGTATGAAATATGAGGCCAAAGTCTGAGGGGTGTTCATTTTTCGGAAAACGTGGTGGAGACTCCAGCTGTCGCTGTGTTTCAGGCAAATAAAATTACAATTTTATATTGACATTTTTGGTTGATTGATTTATTTCTTTGTATTTGTGTCACGCACATAACGGCTCAACCCTCATGGGCAAGACATAAGACAAGGTGTGTGTGTGTGTGTGTGTGTGTGTGTGTGCCAGTTACACAAAACGGATACAGGAACATTTAAGCGTAACGAACATAATCAGGCAGTTAGGGTCATTTGAGAAAAAATGAGGTCAGGGGTCAGTCAGCAAAGTAACGTGTGTGTGTGTGTGTGTGTGTCACATCTGGAAAGACCCTGACGTTCTGGGTAAGCATTGTGGGGTGTTCTCCACCAGGATAGGCGTGGAACCTCTTCTTCATCTTCCTCTTTATCCACAGACAAACACTCTCCTATAAGAAAGCAGGAAGCACAAATGTGAATGTGTCATTTACCCTTCCTCATCTACTGACGTGTAGGCAAACAAACACAGCTACACATTTACACACCTAACTGCCTGTTCCTGTTCCGTGCTCTCATAATATGTTGCTGTGTCCATTTCTGTAATTATCAGAAGATGGTAAAGTAAAAACAATGACTATTGTCCTAATTATCATCTCCACACTAGCAGGATATTGCCTGAACATAAGTGGTCTAACTGCACAATGTTGCCCTGAGGCAACGAACAAAAAAACACAATTTTTGTATATAAATAAAAACAAAATAAGTCTTTCGGCAATCAAACATACTTCTTTACAAACTAATGTGCATGCATACATTTTTAATATAGAGATAGTTCAATTTAAACATATTAAAAAAGCCAGAGTGAATTTAGCAATTTGTGTCCTGTGCAGCTTTGCTTCCTGGAAAGAGTGCTTCACTCCCAAACAAAAGGTCACACCCACTTCATCCCCTCCTTTCATTGGACACACACATGTCTGGTGATAGTGTATATACTGTTTTCAAGTTAAAAACAATTAAAGGGGAGGTGTCGGATCCAAAAAGGTAGTTTGTTGCCTGAGGGCAACAAGGTGCCATAGACTCTAGGGTTTATTAAAATAAAAAAGCAAGCACGCTGACAAAGCACCCTTGTACCATATTCCTGCATTTCAATCATATCCTATAATAAACCTGTGTTCCTTAAGAAAGCTAACGGTACCCTAACCTGTGCTCTCGCACACATACTCGGTACACCTTTCATGGTGCATTCATGCACCCATAATTCCCTCACATTATTCCTCATCATCTCTGCATCTCGTACTCACTACAACTCACCACTATGTGCTCAACTGACTCCTCTTCTCCACATCCTTCACACATCCCTGTCTGGTGTTTTCATATCACTTTCAGTATTTTGTTTAGTGCACAACCGTAAACCTTATCAACACCGTTTCCTCTCTCCTGTTCCTACCACCTACCCGTGTAACTTTGACACTCTTTTGAATATGATATAGATGTCACGAACCCCACATCCAATTTACCAATAAGAGATTCGGCTGCTTATCCGTCTGCTATGCTGCCGTAATCCAACACAGATCTTATCACGTACGAGGTTTTTAATGCTGAACAACTGGCTCCCCATATCCCTACCAGTCACACATCTCATCACATTTATTACTTTTCGGCATTTTTCCTCTCTTCTCCTGATACGGTCTGCCCATGTTAACCGTCAATCAAAAATACCTCCCAGAAATGTAAACGTTCCAACCCTTTATAAGTCTGTCCCATACATCCTTAGCTTCATCCCGTCCTTGATTCTTCAACAAGGTTTTTCAACTGAGAACCTGAACCCCCAATCACACCCCCACCCCACCACCTCATCTATTGCTTCTTGTACTTTTCTGACTGCATCTTCCATGTTCCTTCCTTCTCACATAACGCTCCATCATCAGCAAACAGAGACCGACCTATAGCTACTGGTACCTTTGTGAATATCTCATTAATCATAATGATGAAGAGTAGCGGGCTAATCACACTACCTTGAGGCGTATACCATTATCAACTATGAATTGATTTGACATGTCTGACCCAATCCGTACTTGAAGTTTTCTTCCAAACAGAAAATCCTTTCTCCAGTTATAAACTCTCCCACCTATTCCCATTTTGTGCAGCTTAATTCGCAAACCTTCCTTCCACATCATGTCGTTTTTCTGTAAAAAAAACAAACACTGCAATGACTGACTCTTTATTTGCCTGAGCCTTTCTTATCTCAGTCTCTAACCTTATCACAGTCCATAGTGTTCCTTCCCTTCCTAAAACCACTGGCCAGCATTCCTCTCTTCTCAAGCTCATATGAAAATCTTTCTGTTATCATCCGTTCCATTATCTTACGAATATTAGATGTTAGTGCTGTTGGTCTGTAGAGGCAGATTACCGCCACCTAATGTAGTGGAGTGTGGAGCGGCAGGTTGTCAGGAACATGAATGAATATAAAAATAACTAAACCTGAATTCTCTCCATGATTGCTGTTGATCTTAAGTAATTAATTCGATTGTGGACTTTCCTTGATTCCATTTACTTACAGATTCCCCAATTTAATATTATGTTTTCCATCGATTAGGTCCTGATCCCAATTCCCTTGTTTCTTTGTCTATTGGTCCATGTTTGACAATTTACAGTTCATTATTCTTGAGTATTTGGTTTAATCCTGTATGTCTCAGAGGGATAATAACCATCTCCTGCCTTGGGCTCCCGCTAAGTATTCCACCAACATTTAACTGTGTCGATGTGTATATACGTATATACTATGTACTATATATACTGTGTGTATATATACATACTGTATATATCTTGCTGAATGAAAACGTGTAAGTATTATAAACTCATATTTGCCACAGAACTTTTTTCCACAATGATTAAAAATGGAAAAATCTCATTGGCTTTTTGTCGAGGGAACCAGTGTGATGGTGGAGACTCAGTTCCAATGAATAGATCTGTGTGTGTTTATAAAGTCAACAAAGGCTTTTTTCCACAAGTAGGCTATGTGCTGATTTAATATATATTCAAATTTGTTTTACCCCCCAGCACACCAACCCTACTCTAGAATTGATAATTTTTTGATAGACCAAACAGTTATCGCACCTAACTACACAAGTACAAAACAACAGTATCATTGTCCAGTACTTTTAAAGCTTTGTTTGACCTTTGCACTGGAACAATCTTACGACGATTCGAAGACACAATTAATAACCCCACAAATTTTCATTCATGCAAATGTTAAAAAATATAATACTCAAGCACTACCAGTCTAAAAAAATGTCCCTGAATGATCATGCAGCGCACATTTTTTGTTCATTTTATGATGTTTGACTCACGCTTTTGATATTCATTTCTGAGAGGTTCGTTTGGGTTGATCCTTCTTTAATTAGTTTCCTGTAAATACACTAATTTAAATATTTGAATTGAGAAATCGAGTCACTGTTCTCTATGTCAAGGTAATTGTTTGCTTGAAAGGTCTCTCACTCACTCACGCACACACACACACACACACTCTGTCTCTCTCTCCACGGTGATGTGTGGTGGTTACCGCGCAGCTGCTTTGGTCACGCCCACCTGCCCCCCCCTCCCTCCTCCCAGTACTTATAGCGGACAGCCTTAAAATTAAAAGCAGAAAGCTGGAGAAAAACAAGTAACTCAGAGTCTCTGCACAGGAAGCGTATTGTGGGTCATTGTTCCAGAGCACAGACGAATAATACACCGCTGTGCTCCTGTTATCTCTCTGGCACTCTGCTCCCACCGCAACAGCCTCCATCACCAGCTGAAGGTAAGGGAGACTCCCCAACGGTGAGCCGGCCTCGGAGCGCGTCCTTGGATAACTTCCTCTGAAAAGGTAAGAGTGACGCGGACCGATTGTGATTCAAAGTTATGTCGCTGGCTCGTCCGTGTCTCTTTTTTCCAAATTGTTCGAGTGCCGTACCAACAAAGGAAGGGATCCATGCAACAATGATCCTTTGTCCCCTGAGACCTGCCTGCAATTATTCTGCTCAATGGCGTCCTTTGAGATTTGTCCGTGTGTGTCTGTGTGTGTGTGTCTGTGTGTGTTTTTTGATGGAAGCTCTGTCAGAGACGAGAGTTTTTTTTTTGTTGTTGATCCAAGATCAACAAACACGGACCGTGCACGCAACTCCTGGCGTTGAACACACGCGCACAGTGCAGCGTTAACATTGAGAGCTTCTCCTCGGTGTGTTGGATGTGGACACTACATCCTTCTTTTTTTTTTTCAGTCGCTCCCGGGACGTTTTTGAGATTTTGCATGTGACTCGTGCTCGTTTAATACATCACCAGGCCGACTCCTCGCTGTGTCAGAGCGCTGAGCACGAGGAAGTGGAGAGCTCAGAGGTGATAGAGGGAGTTTTAGGAGTCAAGGCAACAGCTCGTTATGTTTCTGCTGACATCCTGACCTCCCGATGTATGATTAACTTGACGAGGACCAGCTTTACTGTAACAGCAAAGGAAGGCTAAGAAGAAATGACAAGACACTTCTTTTTATATATATATTTGTTATTTCAAAATGTTGTCTGAGGGGACATTTACGGTAGATTTGAAGGGAATGAAAAGAACCAGTTGTAGTTGAACAGCAGGCGTGGAGGCCATGAGGGATATCCCAATACACAGTTGGGTTCTGCTCAGTCATTGTCGTTGGGGATAACACTTTGCCTGTTTTGTCACGACAAACAAAGGGCACTGTTTCCCCTCTGGGAGGTCTACACACACACACACACACACACACACACACACGAATTTGGAAGTGGCAATCTTGAAGCGAGAACAGTGGAGGTTGTAAAAAGGGGAGTGGGAGGAGAAGATTTGGAGGCAGGAGGGAGACGAGATGATGAAGACAGATACATGTTGAGTATCTGTGTGAACACACTAAAGAGAACGTGTTGTGTATTCATGTGTCAACAGACGTGGAGGTATATAATAGGCTGTTGTGTTGCCGTGTACCTCCATTGGTTAATACGCCACTACAACTATCGGCTCCATAAAGTCTAAACAAGCTATGGGCGCGATGGATCGGCCGGCCGACCACAAAGTCTTCCATGCAAATACGCACACACTGGCGTATTTGTGTCTTTACTGCATTCGTGTCCGCGTTACTTCGACCATGAAGCCCTTTGGTTCATGATGTTCGAGTATTGTATCAAAGCATTTTCAATTTGAATGCATATGAGGGGAAAGATGAAAAGGGGTGAAGCATTTCCATGAGTTTGAATCCTTTCCTCGTTTGCATACTGGCTTCAGTGAAAGGCTTTCCAGAAAATACAGTGAGTCTTACTTCCTCAAACGTCGCCGCTCTACTCCCATTAATTCTAAACTAAACAAAGCCCTCACCCGAGTTCCCCGTAAGGTGATATGTGTACAGTAAATGTCCTCAGAGTGTAAACCGAAAGGCTCCGAGCACTCTTGAGTGTTTGAGAAAGATAAGTTATTAAGCTCACAAAGGGTCGAAGGTGAGGAGTTGGGGATAAAGGCAGGTGTCCCCCCCCCCCTGCTCTCTCCCTTCCACCTCACAGAGGAAACGGCACAATCCCACTGTTAATGTGTCACCTAATTGGCAGTGCATGATGACACAGTGAAACTTAGGGCCACACGTCATCCAGATAACTGATGCAGTGCACACAAATGACTGTGTGATGTGAGAACAGATTAGTGTTATGATGAATGACTAAGCGTAATTAAATTGTCACACAAAATCTTTCATGAGACAAAAATAACTTCAACGCTGTCAACAAATGCTGCACAGTATTGATCGACCGTGTCTTTTCTCTCCTTTTTTTTCCCATCTATAGGTAGAACAAGCCGCAGCAAAAATGGGATGCTTTGGATTCCTCAAAGTCATGATGTTTGTCTTCAATGGCATTATCTTTGTAAGTTTTAATGTTTCATGAGAAGTACTTCTGAACAGAACTTTCCACAGACAACTCTGCCATTTTTACATTTGACCTCTGTGTGCATCATGAGTAGGTTGCACTGTGGCAAAGTACGCCAACAAATGGCGAAAAAAAAGTGTTGACTAAATTTTATTTGAAGTAAGAGAATGTACAAAATGTAAAATACCCTCCTGTTTAATACGGCTGTCCAACTGTTAATCCCTTTTTACTTGTCAGAAATACATCAGTTGAAGAACATTATTCAAAAGCAATTTTAATATCACACATCCAAGATCCAAAAAGCTGGATCCTACAAGTCCCACAATGCATCTCATCTTTCATTAAACCCTCCCTGCTTGGTAAATGTCCACATCTGTCTTTTTGCGGGATGAGTAGTAATCCCAGGACAAGTAAACTGACCTTTACAGCACACACAGAATCAGCTCCCCTTGAACCCTTAAGGTTTTCTCCACGTCTCCTCTCACCCTGTCTCTTCTTCTCCCCCGTCACTCTCCCTCAGTTGGCGGGTGCTGCCATCCTGGGCGTTGGGATCTGGGTGAAGGTGGACAGCGGCTCCATCCTCAGCTTCCTCGGGAAAATTGAAAACGCACCGACAGAGCTCAGTCAGGTGCTCAACGTGGGCTACCTGCTGATTGCAATCGGAGCGCTCCTGCTCATCATCGGCTTCCTGGGCTGCTGTGGAGCCGTCAGAGAGAGCACGTGTATGCTGCTGCTGGTAGGTTGTTGTCCGCTACTTTATAGAGGGTTACGGGATTAGTCAGTATTTTTAATAACACAGTTATTCTCTTTTTGCTAGATGAGAAGATCAAAACCACTCTCAAGATAGAGTGGTATTGATTGGGTATACATTTAAACAGAATTGCCAGAAAATGGGCTTAAAATAGAATCGATGTGTTTTCCAATTTCCATTCACTACAGATATGTGAAAATATGGAGTTGGGTATGTTGAGATAAACTGCTGGCGGTGCAAATTTTCCAGTTGGTTGCCATTAAGACATTGGACCAGAAGAGGGCGCCATGAGATTATGTATTAAAAGAGCACCAGTCAAACCTCAAACTACAGAAACCCAATGGAAAACATGACAGGAATATGATATTTATCTGTTTCATGTATTATTTTGAGGAACGTCTGCTGATTTGGTGCCGTTATTCTTTTGTGTCTCCAGAGTGACGTTTAAGTTACATGTTTCATGTATGTCAGAATTTTGTTAGTCAGAGTTTTAGTCTTGTTTCGTTGCACTTTGTCACATTTTGTCACAGTTTTTCTTTTTTCTTTTCTAATTCCCAGCATTCACACTTTTTGAATGTGCAAACTGAAAACGGACATTAAAAAGGTGGAAGGAAACACACTTAATGTGGCTATTGACTATAGACTGATGAGGAATTCATACAGTGAAATAAATGGAAACAAATTCTCGGAAATGAAAAGTTGCCCTGAAATTCTTTTTGAATTATACATTTTTGCCAACCACTGATAAGTTGAAATGTGGATGTTTTTGCATTCACCCAGTTCAAGTGACTTAGTATATTGAGTGATCGTTATGTGGCATACAACAAGTGAAAAAGTCCACGAATGGTGTTTGTGGATGGGTCAAACAAACACAGGATTTTCACCCAGGAAACCGCTGGTCGTGTCCTGTGTGAAACCATGAATAATCATTGAGTTTACGCTTTGTTACACAACAGTTGTTACAATTATTACGCATTGATGAGTAAGAAAGTCTGCTGAGGGGATGCGCTATTGTTTCGTTACGCTATGTTATTATTATGTAAATAATATGTAACATACTTTTTTTCCCACTAGTTCTTCATCATAGTCCTGGTGGTCTTCATAGCGGAGGTTGCAGGAGCTGTGGTGATCTTGGTATTCAGACCCTTGGTAAGTCAACTAAGGACCTTTTCCACCATCGTGACAGGTGCTGCCTTCCGGTACTTGTATAGAAACGCTCCTGTATGCTCGCATTTTAGGCAGACGAGTTGTTTACCAAGTTTGGCGCAGCTGCAGTTCAGAACATCAGGAAGGACTACGGGAAGAATCCTGACGTCACGGGACTGTGGAATACTACAATGAGCTCGGTATGTATTTCTGCTGAATAAAAATGTGATTGTTTTCACACCATTTCGCTGATGCTTTATGTAACGTGCTCCCTTTTGTCCCCACGTTAGTTAAAATGTTGTGGATTCTACAACTCCTCAGACTTCGTGGACTCTCCATATTATGTGGACCACGGCAAGCAATACCCACCACAGTGCTGCCCAGGCATTGACAGCCCATGTAACCAAACGGTGGCTGACAGTGTCATGGTATGGGCTCTTGGAAGAAGTAGAAACAACGAAAGCATCCAATGGCATGATCCAAAACACATTTTGAATTTATATAACTTGTTTCTCTACCTCTTTTACCTCTTTTTATTTTCCTCAGACAATTACTGGGTGCTTCCCAAAGATCAAGAAGCTGATTGAAGACAACACAGTGGTCATTGTGGCAGTTGCCCTGGGAATTGCAGTTCTGGAGGTATGGTCTTATCTCTCATTCCATTTTCGATTAGGCCAAGGATATATATTCCAAGTTAAAATCAACACTTGATTAACTATTGAAAAAATATAATTCCTTGAATATACATCCTTTATCTTCTTTGCACACATTTGTCTTACTTTACTTTTAATTGCGTGGCTTATTAATACATATGTTCTCCCCAGATATGTGCCATGGCTGTTTCCATGAGCCTTTTCTGCAGAATAAAATCCAGGGGGGACTAACTGCAAACGGTGAAGGCCTTGGAAGGATCATTTTAATCACTGGGGTCTTTCTACTTCCTCTGTTGCCTCTAGAAGAGCGAAGGGCTATGCCTTTATTTAGCAAAAAAAATGCCTCGTCATTAAAGGCAGTTAATGTCATATCTCGGGCAATCAGAATTACTGAATGACATAACAAATCTATTTTTACTACGTTTAAATCTATCTAACAGATGCCGCGTATGAATGTAAATTATTTCTTAAGAACACTTCACTTTGTAAAACGAGCTACACACTGCCTACTTCACCAGAGACCTTTTAAAATCCGCTATTACCTGTAACACATGGCCAGTCAATGAGGAATCACATAATACCTGCGTCCAATGTGATAATGAAACAAAGGCTGGTATGTTGGGCATGTTGTTGCCATGACGCAGCATGTAAAATAGCAACAGATGTGATGCAAGATTTCTATGTATGTTGTATGCTGATCAATTTTGAAATAAAGTGAAAAGTATTTCCAGACCCTGGTGAGTTTTTGAGTTGGTCATGTGCATGTGTGACATCTTGCATTTGGTTTTGAAGGGCAGGGAGGACCTGCCAACTGCTAACAGTAGCTACAAAATATTCTTCTACTTTCTCTTTTATCATGCTTTAACAAGAAAAGAGATCTGACAAAAATGTGTTTTTCTACAAGCACATGAGAGTTAAGAGGGTCTGGATCCGCCAATTGATGACCCCTGGTGTAGGGTCTGTGTCTCAGTAATTTGCGCTTGGTTTGTATTAGGTGTTTCATGTTGTGGTAGAAAGTGGACACCTTGGGCTCTTCACCAAAGGTATCCGTGTGGGTGATCCTGTTTACATTAACTGTCTTCATGTTGTGGTCACAAAGTGCTGTACAAGGAGACCTGGCTGACAGGGCTATTTTGGAATCCCACACATTGGAGCATGGCAGGTTGTACTTCTTCATCAGGTCATATATTCTCTGGGGCTCCTCACATCGCACTCTTGTTATCTGGACTAACGCCGTCACACTGTAAGGTTCCTGCGGTGAAATGTGCAAAACACGTGTTGAAAGGAGCATAACATAGTTTCTGTGTAAAATCAGTTGATGTTGAGATACTTACATTTGCGCAGTGCAGCTTAAACATTGTCCTCTTGTCCGCAATGGTGAGTTCCTTCCTGATGCTCCAACCGTACCCTTTCACTAATGTCACAGTGTTAATCACATGTTCATAACAACTGAATCCTGGTCTAATGTCCATGTGTGTGACATTATAGTTGTTGATAACGCCGGTCAACGCGGTTTTGTTTTCCAACAACGTATCAAAAGCTCTCGAGTCCATTATATTACGTCTCTGGTCTACCCATAAATTCTTCATTACATGTAGCGTAACATTGTTCGATTTAACTTGAACGCAGATAACTGTCAAATGATGGTCAGGGCTTGCGTGTGTCCACCTGCTCATGTACCAGTTCGTGACTTTATCTGTGATGAAGTTGATGTGCGTATGTAGGGTACAGCACCATCTGACAACTATTGTCATATACTCCATTATTCTAACACGCTGTGAGGAGAGAGAATGCGAGACCTGTTGCTCAGAGTAGACATATACAGAATGACAGTGCCTCTGCATTGCTTCTATATCCAAAGCACGAGGTGTGATCATCCAACCGTGGCTGAATAATCCAACCGTGGTTCATTTATCCGACCAATGTTAAGCCTATATCTGCACAATAAACAGAGTGCAGCAGTTAGATTATCTGTATCTTTTTTGGAGCTACAGCGGGATCCTGAAAACATTTGAAAGATCACATACTTTGGAACTCTTGATCATTCATCCAGCGAGTAAGCATACTTTCATCAATGGATAAAGTGATGAGAGGTATTGTTGCCATGCTGCAGCGCACACTGCGGTGTCTTTGTAATTACGTTTCTCGGTTCGAACTCAGGCTGCAATTTGAAGAGGGACATGGTCACGTTGTCATTCTCCGTGACAGAGACGCTGGCTACCATCTTCATCACTACTCTGCTGAGGGGGAACCCACCTGGCTCAGCTGTGTAAAGATGTTTACGCCGGCTCCAACCAGCCTCCCTGGTCACCGCTGTGGAGTCCTTCCTCTTCCTCATCCACAATAACCCAGGACTTCAAGTTGAAGCTGAAAATCAGCTCCATCACCAAGAAGGCTCAGCAGAGGGTTTACTTTCTGAGGCAGCTGAAGAAGTTCAACAAAGCCCAGGACCCACACTAATTCGGACACTTGTATCTCCAGGATAATCACAGACATCCCTGCAAAACTCTTCCTTGTATGTGTAAACGTAGCCGATGCACCTTTGACACTACGATGTAGCGATTTCTCTTCTCTTGATGAATGAATAAACATTGTGAGACATTTGTTTGCTCTGTGCCATTATTGTATTCATGATTTATGTTATTAAAAGTCAGAAGTGGTGCTCTACTGCAGAGCACCTGTGCAGGAGGTGCAGACTACCAACAACAGAATAATGCATTATTCCACTGATGAAGGTATGCTTGAGAAGGGTTGGGAGGCGGCAGTCCTACTTCATGTCGGTGTGTTGATGTTAATCGTTAATAGTTTGAGTGTAAGAGTTTTGCAGGGATGTCTGTGATTATCCTGGAGATGCAAGTGTCCGAATCAGTGTGGGTCCTGGGCTTTGTCGAGCTCAACTGGAGAAGGGAAGAAACGTTTTTTGTGGCGTGAGGTCTTAGTCCTGATGCATCGCAGCTTCCATCCAGGGAAGGGAGTGAAACAAGCCCAGGATGAAAGGGATCGGTGGTCATGGAGGAGGTGAAGATGGACTCAATGATGGCAGTGTAGAAGTGCGGCAGCGTTGTCTTTGCAGGTTGAACTTCTTCAGCTGCCTCAGAAAGTAAACCCTCTGCTGAGCCTTCTTGGTGAGGTCCTGGGTTATGGTGGAGCCCGAGAAGAGAAAGAACTCCACAGCGGTGACCAGGGAGGCTGGTTGAGGGAGGCTGGTTGGAGCCGCTGTAAACATCTCTACACAGCTGAGTCAGGTGGGTTCCCCCTCAGCAGAGTAGTGATGAAGATGGTAGCCAGCGTCGCTCCGTCACTGAGAATGACAACAACGTGACCATGTCCCTCTTCAAATCGCAGCCTGATTTCGAACCGGGAAACGTAATTACTAAGACACCGCAATGTGCGCTGGAGCATGGGAACAATATCTCTCATCACTTTATCCATTGATGAAAGTATGCTTACTCGCTGGATGAATGATCGAGAGTTCCAAAGTATGTGATCTTTCAAATGTTTTCAGGATCCTGCTGTAGCTCCAAAAAAGATACAGATAATCTAACTGCTGCACTCAATATATACTGTGCAGATATTTTACCGATGGTTCTCAAACCGATTTTTCGCAAACCGAAATATTCCAGCCAATCATGATGGAGAAGGGAGGTGGAGTGGGAGGAGTTCAATTTCCAACCAGGTTTTTCCAACCCCAGAGAAACAGACTGAACAGAGGATCATTTCAGTACGGAGCATGTTACCGTTCCTGACGTGAAGTATACGGTGGATTAATCGGACATTTGGTCGAGTGAGCTTGTGACTCTCCGTGAATCTACTCGTCCAAACTCTGGCATTGAAGGCCTTCACCGCCATATTGGACCACTTTGTTGAATTCGGGAATTGCCCTGTTTGCGGAGCTGCCTTCATTAACAGCTGCTGCAGCCAGTTTCTACACTGAATTATGTGTACTTCCTGAGGTTTTCTTTTCAATGACAATGTATTGTTAATGTGGTAGTGTAGAGGAAAAAATAGTTCTCATTTTTTTCGTTTATTTCCTTGTTGGCTGAGTATTTGTATCGTTGCAATATTTCTTTCTCTGTCGTGCCACAACCCGCAGATATCTGTGAAGTACAGCACTACATCTGACTATTAATAACATAAATCATGATTCAAATAATCTTGGTCCAAAGACACGGAGGTAGATTTTCCAAACTGCTGCGCACCTTCACAGGTATGTACGGGGTGTGACATGACGGAGAGAGGAACATTGCAGCGATTCGAGTACATTACATCAGCCACCTCGGGGAGGGTTGGGATGCGGCAGTCCTACTTCACGTGGGTGTGTTAATAGCCTAGTTTGAGCTGCTGAAGTGCAGTGAGAGGGTTAAATTACCAACCAGGTTGTTACAACCCCAGAGAAACAGACTGAACAGAGGATCATTTCAGTACGGAGCATGTTACCGTTCCTGACTTGAAGTGTACGGTGGATTAATCGGACATGAAGCGTCTGCTTTGACTCACTGTATCTGTGCTGTAGTGTTGCTGTCTACGTTTGGTGGTGAATCTTGGTCTGAAGACGCCGAGGTGGATTGTGTACTACGAATGGAGCTCTTCGGTCCGGGACAATTTGAGAGAGACACCATGTCTACTGAAACACAGAACACTTGAACCTCCATTCAGAGTTTGTTGGACTTTGATCGAAATGTGATTATTAACTGTTTTATAAAATATTGTTTGGCTGATACAAATTCTTATGTCGATGTCAAGATCTCACAATGTCGTACCGAATTTCTTTCATCATGACTGCATAAAAACATTAAAATGACATCCACAATGATGCCTCTGTCTATATGTTGTGCCACATTAATGATTAATATGGTAACCACACAATATACTCTTGTCCAGCTTCATTGTGTAGTAGTTATTATATCCCACATGTTTGTGTGTCGTGAAATATTAGTGATCAATTATTAATGAATGTCTTTATCAAGCAGAATAAAAACACTGGCAACGGTGTCTCTTTGTAGTCATGTTGTGTCTCCTTGTAGTCATGTTGTGTCTCTTTGTAGTCATGTGTCTCTTTGTAGTCATGTTGTGTCTCCTTGTCATGTTGTGTCTCCTTGTAGTCATGTTGTGTCTCTTTGTTGTCATTTTGTGTCTCTTTGTTGTTACTTTGTGTCTCTTTGAGGTTCTTTTGGTGTGTTTGTGGTGGTTGTATTTTTTCTCTGTGGTCATTTTGATTCTTCCTTTGAGTGACATTTCCTAGCTGAAGGCTGGGGGGGGCCTGTTCAATAATCCATCTACTCGGTGAATGATGTCAGTAGTACTAGTGTATTGGATGAGACACAATGTGCACAGTAGAACCAGGTGTGTCCCACTAACCTCCGTCACTGATTAACCTCCAAACTGCAGCCCTGGACACGCCCAGCCGGGGGAACGTTACTATGAAATGCAGCAATTCAACTGCAACAAGAATACAAAGCGTAGCCTACACTGTGATTCAAACATGGTGATGACACAAGGACAACAGGAGACACTTCAGACCTTGAATGCAACTTGATATGCTGTCCTTAAACGTCACAAACAGAGGTGAAACCACACTCCATCATGAACGTATAGATGTGCGCCTGATGAAGAAGTAATGGTAAAACATATGAGCAGTGCTAAAGAAGGATTTTCCTAAATGCATAAACATACCTCACATATATGACATCAAAGAACTTAAGAATCCAATAAAGATTCAAAAAGTTGAATTT